TTGTAAATAGGGATATGGTTTTAAATCATTTTATGCAAAAATAATCCTTGTTTATTGTTTTCAATCTTATCATCAACAATAACATTGCAGCCACTGTATAAATGTAGAAGTACAGCAACTAGTGTATTCTGCTGTTTGCATTTCATTTCTTGTGCACACATTTAGTATTTGTTGGACAATCACAAGAGAAAAGACTGTTTTTCTTTTAATAAAACTAATTTTTCATATAATCCCCTTCAGGGTCCTACGCAGATGCACCAGCTTCAATGGGAGGAACAAGTGGAGACGTCTCTCTGAGTATAGAGGAGACAAAGTATGATCTTTTTAATACATTCATTAATTTGAGCTCGTTTCATATATTTGTACAATTTTTTTTAATTATTAAATGCTGTTTAAATACAGAATTATGAGAAGAATACCAGTAATTGTGCCTGTTTCAGCATATTACTTTATGTTGAGAATATCCATTAGATTTAAAGACGTACAACACACTGGGGGAGATAACTCTTTCGATTTCAATTGAACGTTTGACGTGACGTCAAGTTTAACGTCAAAAATAAAGCGTCAAAACGACGATTAAAACGATCCCGATGTATATCAATCATGAAAGAAAATTGGGATATGGGGCTTGGCTGTGATTGTGCCTACCATACTCAATCAATGAGTTTTTTTTAATTAACCCGATTAAACTCCGTAAAAAGCAAGACATAAAATACCATCCCGTAATGTTTATTTCATTTCATATGTACAATAAATTGTATTTTTGATCAAAGCGCAGCATTTTTTTTAATCTGAAAATTTTATTTTACATTGCCGAAATTCTCATTATGTATAATTGGCTATATAACATTCCGATTAATGGTCTTCATTACAATTTGTGCATACACGATATAAATATTGTTTTTCTTCTTTAATTAAATAAAACAACAATAAATAAACAATAAACTTTTTACAATGTAAAATCGATGTTGTTCTCAGACCCTTACTGATCAAAGAGGAACAACTCTGAAAATGTAGGAGATGTTTATTTTCCTCCCTTTATTCACGGTTTTCCACAGAATCAGATACATTTACAGCAGACCTGATAAATCCGAGAATTGAATACTATAGACCTCATATACACAATGTAAGTATAGAATTGAAAAGAATTGTTCACTTGTACTGAAATTATCTGCATTTATGAATATCCTATTGCAGCAAATCGTAACTTTGACTTTCTATCAACAATGTCGGTTCGCATTTCCTCGAATCAAAACAAAACGTAGCCTATAAGATTTAAAAAGAAATATCAGTGTGGGATTTGATATAAATTGAAATAGATGAAGAGTTTAATGTTTGATATTTTGAAGTTAATGTGGACGAATACAGAATTTTCATTTTAACTTTAGAAGGGACGACACTGAAAGAAATGCGTACAATATCATGAGGGGTGTACATCTAATGCAAATGTCGATGTATCCCCACGGCCACATATATTGATGAAAATAATAACATGAAAGAAACTACAATCATTCCATTTATATTACAGGATATTTGAACATACACCATTTTTATAATGAATAAAATTAAAGAAATAAAATTAAATTAAAAATCAACATATTCAAGTTCAACAAAACTTGAATTCGTATGCCAGGTTTCATGTGATATGTAAATGCATAACGCATACGTGTATGGGCTAAACACTAAAATCTTTCAGTAATTTTTTCCTAATACATATATAAAAGAGTAGTCAATATTTATTCTGCATTGATTTTAAATTCATGAATGATTCATGAATTTAAAAACTAATGCATACCTCCGGGATTCTTGACGAAATACCAGTATTTTTGCACTGTAAACGACGTTTCGTCAAACGCTAATGATCTGCGACGCAAAAACGGAAGGGGTGGGGGTGAAAGGGCTTTTCAAAAATTGCCTAAAAATCTACATTTAAATACGCTTTACATACGAGAACTTTTAAATTTGTAAGTTAATATATTTTTGAGGGAAAAGCAATATTCCAATTTAATTTTTTTCAATGTGTATTTGTAGATTCATATAACAAAGTGATCGACCCCCGTCTGAAAGACGCGCGGGAACGTGATTTATTGAGAAAGGGGGAGGGGGTAATTTTCCGCTATTAAATCAAAACTGGTCGTACAAAAATTATACAAAAAATTATGAAGATTATTTTTACTACCAGCTACCTAAAGAAAGTTTTTTAACAAAATTAAACGACAGGTTTTTTCACAAAAAAATTTTGAATTTGAAAAATACGCAATTTTCAAGGCTTAGAAAATTCATAGTTTTTCAGTTTAAGGTCTTTAAAAATTGTTTTGATGATATGTATATCAAAAAGATGACTATGTTTTTGTGTTAAATGGTTAAAGGAATAAGCCAATGAAATTTGACATTTATATCTAACCTGGTTTTATTGAAAATCAAGGTTTAAATAGTTCATTGATTAAAAATTTTCTCTCCTTGTAAACAACTAAAGGGGGGTAACTTTTGGAAATTCCTGTCCAAAAACCACTCGAACGATTTTGTCCAAAATATTCATACATGCAGTAGATATAGTAATGTACTAAATATACAAAAATAACGAAAATTAAACGACAGGAATTTTTTTGGGTAGGTGTGTTGTACATCCTTAATTGTAAAAATAGTTTCATTTTTCATTCACAGTCGTATAAGAGCCAAATTAGGATTGAAACCTCTTGATGTTGGTTCGGAGAAAAAACAGACTGGTAGGTATTGAATATATGATGAAGTTAAACTAAAAATAATAAAATTTTCACAGCACAGACTTTAAACAATTGTTGAAAGGTGAATTATTGTCAATTTATTGAGATGTTACTGATACATATTTATATGACATAAAGCTCATGTACACTTTCATTTTTAGCTCACCTCAACGAAGTTGGGGGGAGCTTATGTGATACCCTCGGCGTCGGCGTCGGTGTCGGCGTCGGCGTCGGCGTCCCAGGTTAAGGTTAAGTTTTTTGGAGCAGTTTTCTTTTTAATTACTTCTGTGTCCTATACTGATTAGACATGCATGCAAGATGGTTTTAGTGTGTTTTATTGTACCAGACAAAGTTTCAGATGCTGCAATTTCAGCAAAGGAATGACCAGGTTAATGTTTTTGGAGCAGGTTAACATTGTTGGTGCAGTTTTTGGTGTAGGTTTCATTTCCAAGTAACTATAAGCCCTATGTTGACCAAACTTGCATGGATGATACATCTAAGGATGCATACTACCGGGCTTGCTTCGGATGCTGAATCTGACCTACATTTTCCGGTTGAGTGAACAGGTTAAAGTTTTTGGTGCAGGTTTCATTTCCAAGTAACTATAAGCCCTATGTTGACCAAACTTGCATGGATGATACATCTAAGGATGCATACTACTGGGCTTGCTTCGGATGCTGAATCTGACCTACATTTTCCGGTTGAGTGAACAGGTTAAAGTTTTTGGTGTAGGTTTCATTTCCAAGTAACTATAAGCCCTATGTTGACCAAACTTGCATGGATGATACATCTAAGGATGCATACTACCGGGCTTGCTTCGGATGCTGAATCTGACCTACATTTTCCGGTTGAGTGAACAGGTTAAAGTTTTTGGTGCAGGTTTCATTTCCAAGTAACTATAAGCCCTATGTTGACCAAACTTGCATGGATGATACATCTAAGGATGCATACTATCGGGCTTGCTTCGGATGCTGAATCTGACCTACATTTTCCGGTTGAGTGAACAGGTTAAAGTTTTTGGTGTAGGTTTCATTTCCAAGTAACTATAAGCCCTATGTTGACCAAACTTGCATGGATGATACATCTAAGGATGCATACTATCGGGCTTGCTTCGGATGCTGAATCTGACCTACATTTTCCAGTTGAGTGAACAGGTTAAAGTTTTTGGTGCAGGTTTCATTTCCAAGTAACTATAAGCCCTATGTTGACCAAACTTGCATGGATGATACATCTAAGGATGCATACTACCGGGCTTGCTTCGGATGCTGAATCTGACCTACATTTTCGGGTTGAGTGAACAGGTTAAAGTTTTTGGTGTAGGTTTCATTTCCAAGTAACCATAAGCCCTATGTTGACCAAACTTGCATGGATGATACATCTAAGGATGCATACTACCGGGCTTGCTTCGGATGCTGAATCTGACCTACATTTTCCGGTTGAGTGAACAGGTTAAAGTTTTTGGTGTAGGTTTCATTTCCAAGTAACTATAAGCCCTATGTTGACCAAACTTGCATGGATGATACATCTAAGGATGCATACTACCGGGCTTGCTTCGGATGCTGAATCTGACCTACATTTTCCGGTTGAGTGAACAGGTTAAAGTTTTTGGTGTAGGTTTCATTTCCAAGTAACTATAAGCCCTATGTTGACCAAACTTGCATGGATGATACATTTAAGGATGCATACTATTGGGCTTGCTTCGGATGCTGAATCTGACCTACATTTTCCGGTTGAGTGAACAGGTTAAAGTTTTTGGTGTAGGTTTCATTTCCAAGTAACTATAAGCCCTATGTTGACCAAACTTGCATGGATGATACATCTAAGGATGCATACTATCGGGCTTGCTTCGGATGCTGAATCTGACCTACATTTTCCAGTTGAGTGAACAGGTTAAAGTTTTTGGTGCAGGTATCATTTCCAAGTAACTATAAGCCCTATGTTAACCAAACTTGCATGGATGATACATCTAAGGATGCACACTACCAGGCTTGCTTCGGATGCTGAATCTGACCTACATTTTCCGGTTGAGTGAATAGTTAAAAGTTTTTGGTGCAGGTTTCATTTCCAAGGAACTATGAGTTTTTAAATGACCAATCTTGCATAGACGATCTAAGGATGCATACTTCCAGGCTTGCTTCGGATGCTGAATCTGACCTACTTTTTGTAGATGAGTGAAAATGTTAGTTTTGATGCATGTTTCATTTCCAATAAACTATGAGCCCTATAATGAGCAAACTTGCATGGATGATACATCTAAGGATGCACACTAATGGACTTGCTTCGGATGCTGAATTGGACATACATTTTTCAGATAATAGACAAGGTAAAAGTTACGGTTGCAGGTCTGTTACCAAAAACTATAAGGCTTATATAACATTGTATAAACCAAACTTGCACAAATGCTGCATCAAGAGATGAAAACTCGCAAATTTGCTTCAGATGCTGGATTTTCATTACATTTTCATGAAGAAGAAGTAGTTTAAATTTTTTATGTAGGTCTATTTCAAAGTATCAGATCAAAATTGCTTTTAAAAATATTTTCATTTTTGGAATGTATACTTTTTGTTGGTTAATTGTGTGACTTTGCCTTACTTAAAGACAACATTCGTTGAGGTGAGCTCTGTAATCTCTGATTACCTATGTTTATTTATGTAAAAAATTACATTAAAAATTGCAGATGAAGGTTTCCTAATCACAAAAGAAGGAGATGTACACAAACCTGCCATGAGTCTAACAGAGAAGAAAGAAACTGAGAAACTGAAGGAAAGAATTCAAAAAATGAAGGATAAAAGGAAAATCAAAGACCAGTTAGGGTAGGTTACGGCTTAGCTGCAGATCTGTAGCTCACCAGTCTGAACAAACAGAGATGGATGACTAGAGAGCTACAGTGCTGCCAATTGAAAAAAAAGTGTATATTTATTGCGCACAAAAAGTGAGCTACAGATATGCATTAAGTAATGGGTTAAATAAATTGAAAGAACTTTAAATTGATTCTACCATGTATTGCACTTTTATCTTATATATATTTTTAATATTGATCCATTGTTATTTAATTTTCTATGTATTTCAGCAAAGTAAAAACTCTGGGTGAAAGTGATTCCGAAGATGACACAACAGCCTGGGTGAAGAAAAGTCGACAAAAACAGAAAGAAAAGGAACTGGCAGAAAAAAGGGTAGGAAAAAAATTCTAGATGTTGTAATATTTTCCTGAGGATTTTTATGTTTAATTGTAAGAAAGAAATTTGGGTATTTCATGTGCATTTTCTTTCAAATAAAGTTCTTTGAAAAAAAAAAAATTGAGCTGAATGATGAAATGTATGATAGAATTTTATTTACATGTGCATAAATCATAAATTTCTTATAAATCAGTTCTGCTAGTTAATATAATATTAAAATACAGAAAGTTACAATTATTAGACAGTGACATGTTTACAGGTAGAAGTGTAACATACAGCGATAGACAGTCATCTCAAAGGCTGACATTATTATGTAATTTTGAAATTTATTAAACTTTAAAATCAAGGCAGGTCTCTAATAAGAATTATGCAATTTGATATTGCAGGCGAAACAGTTAATGGAACTAGATGAAGCATTTGGATTGGAGGACATTGTTAAAGAGGAATTTAAAGATAACAAGAAGGTGAGTTTTGGTGAGGCTGAGAAAAAATAGGGATCTGTAGTTCATGTACTAATTTCATCCAGTTTATTAAATAAGAATTAGAGAGTTTGGGCATTTTTTGGTCAGTAAATCACATAGGGATAAACAGTTAAACTCGGTCATAAAGAAGTCACTGTGACCCAGGAAATTACTTTGTTATATCCATAATTTGTTATATGCATATAAGGATAAGGAATTCCTTAAATCTATATAGCTTGGCATCCAAGATAACTTCGCTATATCCTTGAATTCATAATATCTGTGTTCGTACTAAATGAGAGTTTTACTGTACATAAAAATCTGTAACCCACATTAGCATAAAACGGTATAACCTGTATAATATATAGGATGCAAAGTTAAAAAAAATATGCTTGAAATTATTCTCACTCCCACTGTTTCTCTTATTTCCATTGTTTTAAATCTTATTTCCTAACCATTTACAGGAATATACATCTAAGGATTTGAGAGGTCTGAAGGTGGAGCACTCTGTGGACAGATTTAAAGATGGACAGTCCATTATTTTAACACTGCAGGACAAAGGTATATGATAAAGTAGTATTATAAAAAAAATTGTCAGTACCTTGTTATAAGAATGAAAAAAGTAATTTTTTTCAGTGCTAAGATGAAGTTTAAAATCCATAATAGATATTTAATTATAAATGAATGTAAATTTCTTGCTAATGTGAATCTACATGCTAATTTTTGCCCATTATCACTTGCAAACAATTAAGTCTATCTCTATTTTGAAATTGCCACCATTGATAAAGAGTAAAAATAAATGGAGGGAAAATTACATTCTGTACATTTTAAAGCTTGCTAATTTTTTTTCTATTACTAAATATTAAATATTATTGTACCTGAATAAATATGCATATGAAATACACATGATGAATCTGTGTTGTACAGGAGTGTTAGACGAAGATGAAGGAGACACGTTAGTTAACGTTAATCTCGTGGATGATGAAAAGGCGGAGAAAAACGTGGAACTTAAGAAGAAGAAGCCAGATTACAACCCCTATGATACTGGGGATGTAGATGAATTTGGAATGGTAGGGCTTTAGCAAAATACACTGTTCTTGTAATTGTGTACATCAGAAAAGAAATCTTGAATTATATTTTTGACAGGAAGTATTGAAAATTCATATTTCATTCAGTTCCTGTGTATCAGAGAAAATACTGTACATGTATGTTTTTCCACATTGGATTAATTTACTATCTTTACATAGTAAAAATAAATCAACATAAATTTGACAAAGTGTATTTAAAATGCATTAACTAAATACAACAGCAATCCAAGATATCTGTGTAATAAACAGAAATTATGGTTATTCAGAATTTTGACTTTTTGTAAAAGTGCATTTACAACACACAGAGATATTTACATGTATTCATGAAAACAAGGGTCTTAGGATATAAAAGATTTTGATATGCTTTTTATTGTATATTTCACAGTTCAAACCAAAGAATGTGCTGGATAAATATGATGAAGAGATAGAGGGTGTTAGGAGGGAGAAGTTTGAGTTAGGGTCAGGTGGAAAGTACGACACTGACCCCGAAAAACAGATGGATGAAATTCGTAGACAGCTGAGAGAACAGAGTCAGTCCCTGGGAGGAGTGACCTTGAACCCAATCAATGAGTACCTCACCCCTCAGGAAGCAGCTGTGAGTATCAGCATTTGACCTACTTTTTGTAGACTTTGTATACATTTAGTACAAGAAAGATTTTTCAAGCTGTAAAATGACAGATATAAAGTGCATTCATCTAGAAAAAATGGGAAAATTAACACTCCAAATCAAAATTGAACAGCAATTTAGTTGTAAGCACTTCATAGCATGTAAATAGATAGTTGCATAAATACTGATGTTACATGTACTAATAATATCTGTTTTAAAAGGATGCAGCAAAGTTTAAAAAGGTTAAAAAGAAAGTAAGGAAAATCAGGAAAAAAGAATCACTAAAAGCAGATGACCTACTTCCTCTGCCAAATCAAGGTCAGGAGGACACAGATTATGGGTCAAGGTAAAGCTTGTATTTTGAATGAAGATAGTTAAATGGCAACATCTGATTAAAAGTTACACAATTTAATTGGTATATGTGAAGAAATAAAAAGTGCTGTAATCAAAAGCTGCAAATTTAATGTGTAAGATTTACCATGTACATTTGTGTTCATGAATTGCAACTGTTACATGAAGTTCAATAATAAAGCTTAGCAAGTTAATGTGTCTTCATTATACATTAAAGAACTTTTCAAAAAGAAAAGATATGATGTAAGAATTTTTCTTGCAGGAAAAGAGGGAGGGGGTACATGCGAGAGGAGGAGGAGGCTGTTGAGGGTCAGACAGGGTATGAGAACGGTTACGGTGGGGGTGGGGGCATGACGGCTCCCATCGTGATAGACTACGCCCACGGTCACACAGCGGTCAGTGTTAATGACCAGCCAATGGAGGTCACAGAACCAGAGGAAGAGGAGGGTACGTGTGTACTGGATTTTAATGTCTGAAATTATGTACCAAATTCAAACATACAGAACATGTATACTGGATATTTATATTTGAAACTTTGTTCCAATTTCACACAGATGGAACCACAGTTTGATATGGGGAAAACTTTGAAATTTTTCACCAACATACACACTGTAAAAATAATTTTATTTTACAATAAGACCTGTATTGAAATATTCACTTTGTTTAAATGATGAAAATTATCTTTCACCACTTAGCATCATACAATGCTTGCAGACATTTAATCCAATTTTTTAGAATTCACGCAAATTCAAAAATTGAAGTTAAAGGTAGGCAAAAAAAAAAATTAATCAAAAGTTTCTCAGGCCAAAAAAATCAGAATTCAATGCGGCAGGCAGGCTTTTTTTTTTTTTTTTTGGAAGCAGGTTTAACACCTTTTCTAAGCTATTTTTTCATTAAAATGATTATAACTACCAATTCTTAATTTTTGTTCTCTGAAATTGGTTGTAATATGTATTCAACTTTAAATAATGTTACTCCAAACATTTATTTAATAGTTAATTAATATAATACTGAAAATTTAGAAGAAATGTATTGTTTTTCTAATAAAAACGTTTATTTTAGCATTGATGAAAAGGGGAATATCTCCCTTTTCTTTTTCAACATGGAAAAATAGAAAATTGAGTTATCTCTCTTTTCAATATGTCAATAAAATTGATCAATGCGGCCGTTTTTGAACCTGGGAAACTATTGATTAATTTTTTTTGGCCTTACTTGTCAAAATTATGTTCTAAATTGTCTGGAATTCACATTAACATGAACTACATTATTTTAATTAATATATGTAAATTAATTATTTTTCAGACTTGGTTGGTCCAGATGAGGATCTCAGTAATGTAATAGAGGAAGACGAGGCAGAGAAGGAGTTACACTCAGCTCCGTCCAAAGCCAGGAAAATCAAGAAGAGGAAAGACGCATCTGCAGTCATCAAGGTAGAAATCCAAATCTTACTGTCAATGTTAAAATGTTAAATAATTGATGATACTACTGATGAGATAATTGGTTGTCTAAATTAGGTTATCTTTGGTATGTTGAAAGGCTAATTGGTAAAAAGATGCCAGTTGGCAAATATTGTCTACCTCACATTTGACAAAATTTAAGATTAGTATAAAACAAGAATACATATTTTCTTGATTTTTGAGAAGCCATTTTCTTCTTGTATTTTTAGGTAGCAGAGCAGGTTCTCTTAAAAGCTAAATCAGAGCCAGAGGAAGAAGAAGAAGAAGCCCCCCAGGACGGTAACATTATCCTCAATGCTACCTCCGAGTTCTGTAGAACCCTGGGGGATATTCCTACGTACGGCCAGTCAGGGAACAGAGAGGAGGATCAGGAGGATTTCATGGTCAGTCAGTAGATTTGTGTTTGAATGACAGAGGCTATTTGTTTGTAGGATTATTTGTGCTCCATTTAATTCTTCTGTTTTACATATGCAAAAAATTTTGTTCCTTTTTAAATTCGCTCAGTCACAGTTCTGTTTCAGAAATTATACTGTGTTCTTTGAATTCACCCTATTTGAAATTTGCCCACCTTTGGCTAAAATTGCAAAAAATTACCAAAATACAATATTTAGAGTCTGTAGATATTTGTTTGAGGGAGAGAGATTATTTGTTCTGTCAAATCTACAAAAGAGGTTAAATGCATGCATAAAAGTTCTTCAAGAGATTGAGGCAGTGATCATCATGGTAGGGTCTACATTACAAAAAAAATTATTCATATATTAAAAAGTTAAAGACAAGGAATTCTGATCCATGCTCCCTTGTCTTTTCATAAGAGTATACATGTACAAGAAATTATATTTTTTATGGTATTTGGATTTCAGTATTTATGAAATAAGTCCTTGTCAGTTTTTTTTACAATCAGTAATGTTTTCAGGATTTTGAGAAAGAGCTTGAAGAACGAAGGAAAAAAGAGGAAGATGAGGAACAAATGTCAGGATGGAATGCAGTGGAAATTGACGAGACACCTGTCAATATCACTGTAAGTATTAATTTACGTGATGTCAATATCACTGTAAGTATTTATTTACCTGATGTCAATATCACTGTAAGTATTTATTTACGATGTCAGTATCACTGTAAGCATTTATTTACCCATTGTCAATATCACTGTAAATATTTTTTACCTGATGTCAATATCACTGTAAGCATTTATTTACCTGATGTCAATATCACTGTTAATATTTTTTTACCTGATGTCAATATCACTGTAAGTATTTATTTACCCAATGTCAATATCACTGAATATTTATTTACCTGATGTCAATATCACTGTAAGTATTTCAGTTTGCTGCACCTGTAAAATTGTTTTATCAGGGATCTTAAAATTTTACAATGCATTGATAAAATTTTTTAGCTGAGCTCACCTGAGCCGAAGGCAACAAGTAAGCTCTTCTGAACAAAATTTGTACGTTGTCATTTTTGATACCTTTTCACATTTTCATCTTCTTCTCAAGAACCACTGGGCCAATTTCGACCAAACTTGTACTCCCTCTTTTCCACAAATGTGAAAATAGGATGGACCCAAAACCCGTGGCGTGCAACGATGTAGATACCTAAGATTGCTATTTCTATAATGTGTGCAAAGAACTGAAAATGCTGACTAACTGACTGTGTCACGAATTTATCCCGCTGAAGACCTTTATCAATATAAAAAAAATATATGTGCATATTATGAAAATATGAAGTTTTAATCCAATAACAATCAGCATAAAATATTGTTATGGTAACAAGAAATTTAACTAAACTAACTACGTACTAAACCATTTCTTAGCCGCCATTTTTATTATGCGCCCTGATCGATAGATCCCAGGCGTATATTGTTTTTGTCCTGTCTGTTTGTCTGTTTATCTGTTTGTCTGTTTGTCTTTCTGTCTGTTGTCAACTTTAACCTTCGCCATAACTTTTGAACAATAAGAGATAGGGACTTCATATTTGGTATGCGTACTCCAATAATAAAGTCCTTTCAAATGACATCAAGGTCAATGACCTTGTGACCTTGACTGTGACCTATATGCTAAAAATAGTTTTTTCCATTGTTTGTCATAACTTTTTAACCATAGGAGATAGGGACTTCATACTTGGTATGCATACTCCACTAATAAAGTCCTTTCAAACGACGACAAGGTCAATGATCTTGTGACCTTGACTGTGACCTATATGCTAAAATAGCTTTTTCCACTGTTTGTCATAACTTTTTAACCATAGGAGATAAGGACTTCATATTTGGTATGCATACTCCACTAATAAAGTCCTTTCAAACGACGACAAGGTCAATGATCTTGTGACCTTGACTGTGACCTATATGCTAAAAATAGCATTTTACACTTTTTGCCATAACTTTTGAACCATAGGAGACAGGGACTTCATATTTGGGATGCATACTCCACCGATTAAGTTCTTTCAAATGACACCATGGTCAATGACCTTGTGACCTTGACTGTGACCAATATGCTAAAAAAAGATTTTTTGAACTTTGTTGCCGCCGGGCGCATAGTGTTTCACAAACACATCTTGTTTACAAAAGCAACGCTTGGAACGTAATCGTGTGCGCGATTTTCATATTACTCCTTGACTGCGACATAATAAAGAAAATTTCAGGGCATCATGTGATCAGCCTTTATCCAATCAGCAATCTACAAATTAGTCTGAAGAGGGATAAACTATTAGATATGTAGGTATAGGCCCACATGTTAAATATATCTTCTATGCATATCTATTCTTGATATATTTACACACCGTGAATCATGCAAAGATTTTTAAGAATTCACACAATAATAATTTCATTCTTTGAAAAATAACTTTTCTCCCATAAATATCCTTGCCTCAAACTTGATCTTCTACCCCCTAGTTAGAGATAACAGCACGTGTCACATGGAATTGTCCTCAAGCGGATATGTGTCAAGTATCCAATTAAAGAAAAGCCAAGACCCATGTTTTTACTGCAGTTTTTCAGATCCCTTTGTGTTTTTACTTGTATAATTAATTTAATTGTAAATGACGTGTTAACCTAGAAATTAGCTCCAAATCAAGTTTAATTTATTTCCTTTAAATTTTCAATTTTTAAAAAACTTACGACACGCATATTACAAAGAATGGGGTCATAAAAAATCACTTACATTTTACATTTAACGTCTGAAAAATTACATTTACACGTTGCAGCACAAGTTCAGGCCATGTAAATATAAAAAAAAGAAATCTACATGTACTTCGCTTTTTTCTCGAGATTGAAACACCGATTTTCCCAAGCTTCTTTTGAACGGACATGTGTGCGTTGATCACCCATCTCACAGAACCACATTTAACCCCCGCCCCCCTTACCGATTTCCCTCCTATTGAAAATGCTTTCGTAAGATAAAAAAAAATTCTTTATAAATGTATCATTTATATAAACAAAACAAGTCAATTTCAAGTTCTACATTTATTCTTTGCCTTTGGGAACTACTCAGCTATAGGACAAATCAATTTAACAAATTGCAACATCAAGAAACACACGCATACACATAACATCATTATACAAAACTGAACAAAGATAAAATACTTATATGTACATGTAAGACCAATGGCTAATTATGTTGAATTGCACCTACAATATGTAAATTGTTGCGATATGTAACTGGCCAATGGCCTTAAAAATGTTGGTAGATCGATGGCCTGGTATTCTGAAGGTCGATGACCTTCATGTTTGAGGCCGATGGCCTCGTGAATAGTTTGGCCGATGGCCTTGAACTTGAGTGGCCGATGGCCTTGGTGAATTAAGTGGCCGATGGCCTTGAACTTAAGAGGCCGATGGCCTTGGTGAATAACATGGCCGATGGCCTGTAAATCTTGAAGGCCGATGGCCTTGTGGTAGAGGCCGATGGCCTATATGCGTGTGTGTCTAGGCCGATGGCCTTGCATATGTATGTAAAGTTCTAGTGAGTTTTCTTTTGGGGGAAAATAACACATGTTCATGTGTTAAATGCCTAACTAGGAAATTATGAGTAGTTTCCCCTGATCAAATTAAGGTGGTGGTTGGGGTGGTGGTGGATTGCTGCGATGCTGACTTGGAGAATGATGGCGCTAAACTGTAGGCCTATCTGATTGGTTAACTAAGTCACGTGATGTAAATATGATACTCTGGGTAATTACTATTTATATAAACAATATTTAATTACATTAAAATCATTTTATATAAACAAAACAAGTCAATTTCAAGTTCTACATTTATTCTTTGCCTTTGGGAACTACTCAGCTATAGGACAAATCAATTTAACAAATTGCAACATCAAGAAACACACACATACACATAACATCATTATACAAAACTGAACAAAGATAAAATACTTATATGTACATGTAAGACCAATGGCTAATTATGTTGAATTGCACCTACAATATGTAAATTGTGGCGATATGTAACTGGCCAATGGCTAATTATGTTGAATTGCACCTACAATATGTAAATTGTGGCGATATGTAACTGGCTCAAGTGAGCTTTTCTGATCACATTTTGTCCGTCGTCCGTCTGTCCGTCCGTCTGTCCGTCCGTCCGTCCGTCTGTAAACTTTTCACATTTTCAACTTCTTCACAAGAACCACTGGGTCAATTTCGACTAAACTTGGTACAAAGCATCCTTGGGTGAAGGGGAATTTAAATTGTTAAAATGAAGGGACATATCCCCTCGCAAGGGGAGATAATCAAGAAAAGACAAAAATAGGGTTGGGTCATTAAAAAATCTTCTTCTCAAGAACCACTGGGCCAGAAAAGCTGAAACTTATGTGGAAGCATCCTGGGGTAGTGTAGATTCTAAATTGTTCAAATCATGAACCCCAGGGGTAGGGCGGGGCCACAATGGGGATTCAATGTTTTACATAGAAATATATAGTAAAAATCTTTGAAAATCTTCTTCTTAAGAACTACTGGGCCAGTAAAGCTGAAACTTATGTGGAAGCATCCTGGGGTAGTGTAGATTCTAAATTGTTCAAATCATGACCCCCAGGGGTAGGGCGGGGCCACAATGGGGAATCAATGTTTTACATAGAAATATATAGGAAAAATCTTTGAAAATCTTCTTCTCAAGAACCACTAAGCCAGAGAAGCTGAAACTTATTTGGAAGCATCCTGGGGTAGTGTACATTCTAAATTGTTCAAATCATGACCCCCGGGGATAGGGCGGGGCCACAATGGGGAATCAAAGTTTGCATAGAAATATAAAGGAAAAATCTTTTAAAATCTTCTTCTCAAGAACCACTGGGCCAGAAAAGCTGAAACTTATGTGGAAGCATCCTTGGGTAGTGTAGATTCTAAATTGTTCAAATCATGACCCCCAGGGGTAGGACGGGGCCACAATGGGGATTCAATGTTTTACATTGAAATACATAGGAAAAATCTTTGAAAATCTTCTTCTCAAGAACCACTGAGCCAGAGAAGCTGAAACTTATTTGGAAGCATCCTGGGGTAGTGTAGATTTTAAATTGTTCAAATCATGACCCCCGGGGGTTGGGCGGGGCCACAATGTGGAATCAATGTTTTACATAGAAATATATAGAAAAAATCTGAAAATCAAAGCTGAAACTCATATGGAAGCATACTGGGGTAGTGTATATTTCAAATTGTTTAAATTATGATCAGTGGGGTAGGGTGGGGTCACAATATGTTTTACAAGGGGGAAATCTGGTAAAGAACAGAATGGCCAAAGCTTCTCAGGTGAGCGATGTGGCCCATGGGCCTCTTGTTAAACATTTGGATAAATAAATAAATACGAAATGACAATTATTTATTAATTACTACTGTCAGAGTATTAAATTTTTTTTTAGCTCTTCTGAGCCAAAGGCTCAAAGAGCTAATGCTATGGCCATATGTGCGGTGTGCGGTGTGCGTTAACTTTTTAGAATATGGGCCATAACTCAAGAACCCCTTGGCCAATCAGTGTCAAATTTGTCACAGAGTATCCTTGGCCTAAGGGCCACCATTTATAGTAAAATAAGGGTTGGGACCCTTAAACAAGGGGAGATAATCAGGAAAACAAAACCAAAAGTACTGGTTGCTAAAAAATCTTCTTCTCCAGAACCACCAGGCAGATTTTCACCAAACTTACATACAAGGATCAGGATATGTTGAAGATTAAAATTTGTTCAAGGCATGACCCTGGGGCAAAGGGCGTGGTCTCAAGGTTACTTCAAAGTTGACCTAAATTTACTAATAATAAAAACGTTTATATTTTGCTTACTATTAGGACTAGGATCATCAAATCTTGTAAGTTGATGCATCTCAGGACTTCACATCATGTTAACTCAAAAGTAGGTCAGGGTGACCTACTTTTAAAATTTTGTGGGCATTTGTTTTCAAATTGATTTGACGGCATATTTCGGGCACTTTAAGGCCTATGATCATCAAACTTAGTCAGTTGATGCATCTTGGGTAGTTGAACAACGTCAGCTTAAAAGTAGGTCACCGTGACCTACTTTTTGAACTTTATGACTAATTCTTTTTAAAACATTTAATCCAATTATTTCAGACACTGAGAGATTTAGAATCATCAAATCTTGTAAATTGATGCATCTTGGGACCTTAAAACATATTTATGAAAAAGTAGGTCACTGTGACCTACTTTTTGAATTTTGCAGGCATTTGTTTTTAAATTGTTAAAAAGGCATATTTTGATTACCTTCAGACCTAGGATCATCAAACTTGGTCATCAGATGCATCTTGTGACTTTAAAAAACGTCGACCAAAATATAGGTCATGATGACCTAGTTTTAACATTTTATGGCTATATTTTAATATCTTAGGTATTTATTGGCTTAGAGACATCAAACTTTGTGAGTTGATGCATCTTGGGTTTTCGGAGAGTAACAAACAAAAAGTAGATCACGGTGACCTACTTTTGACATTTTATGGCTTTATTTAAGTATCTACAGTACTTATTGGCTTAGAATCATCAAACTTTGTAAGTTGATGCATCTTCGGTTTTGAAGAATGACGTCCAAAAAGTAGTTCACTGTGACCTCCTTTCGACATTTTATGGCTATATTTTAGTATCTTAGGTACTTATTGGCTTAGAGTCATCAAACTTTGTGATTTGATGCGTCTTGGGTTTTCGGAGAGTGACAACCAAAAAGTAGATCACGGTGACCTACTTTTGACATTTAATGGCTTTATTTAAGTATCTACGGTACTTATTGGCTTAGAATCATCAAACTTTGTAAGTTGATGCATCTTGGGTTTTCGGAGAATGATGTCCAAAAAGTAGGTCACTGTGACCTACTTTCGACATGTTTATGGCTTTTTTAAAGTATCTTAGGTATTTATTGGCTTAGAATCATCAAACTTTGTGAGTTGATGTGTCTTAGGTTTTCGGAGAGTGACAACCAAAAAGTAGGTCATGGTGACCTACTTTTGACATTTTATGGCTTTATTTAAGTATCTACGGTACTTATTGGCTTAGAATCATCAAATTTTCTTGGGTTTTCAGAGATTGATGTCCAAAAAGTAGGTCTTGGTGACCTAATTTTTGACATTTTATGGCTTTATTTAAGTATCTATGGTTAAGAATCACTAAACTTTGTTTGTTGATGCATCTTTGGTTTTTATAGAATGTTGACCAAAAGGTAGGTCATGATGACCTACTTTTGAATATCTCAGGTACTTATTGGCTTAGAATCATCAAACTTTGTCAGTTTATGTATCTTGGGTTTTCAAGGAATGTAGACAAAAAAAGTAGGTCACAGTGACCTACTTTTAAATACCTCAAATACTTATTGGCTTAGAATCTTTAATCTTTGTTTATTAATGCACCTTGAGTCCTCAGAAAACTTCAATCTTAATATACTGTAAAACAACTTTTATTCGCGTGCAAGAAATTTTCGCGAAGTTTGCGAGAGTCTCATCATCGCGAATATTTCTCGCCACGAACCGATCTACAAAGCGTTTGTGTCTATTAACAACAGATGCAAAAAAGCTTGATCGCGAAAGTTAATCGTCGCGAACTAGTTTATCCCAGGTAAATCGCGAAATAAAGTCGTCGCAATTAAAAGTTGGTTTACAGTAGGTCACTGTGATGTACTTATGGTTTTTTAGCTCTACTGGTCAGAGACCAGAAGAGCTTATGCGATAGTAAGGTGTCCGTCGTCCGTCCGTCTGTCTGTCTAGCTGTCCGTCTGTCTGTAAACAATTTTTCAAAACGCTACTCCTCCTACAGTTTTGGTCTGATTTAATATAACTTTGTACACAAGTAGACTACACAAAGATACAGAGAATAGTGCATCAGTTTTTGATTTCGATGAACGATGTTGCCATGGTTACTAAAAATAGAATTTTCTCTGATATTCCTTTTAATCGCTACTCCTCCTACAGTTTTGATCTGATTTCAATTTTACTTGGCACACAAGTAGACTACACCAAGATACATAATTGTGCATCGATTTTTGATTTCGATGAATGGTGTCACCATGGTTACTAAAAATTAAATTTTCTATGAAATTCCTTTAAAATGCTACTCCTTCTACAGTTTTGGTCTGATTTCAATTTTACTTGGCACACAAGTAGACTACATTAAGATACATAAAATAATGCATCGTTTTTTTATTTTCATTTTTTTGAACGGTGTTGCCATGGTTACTAAAAGTAGAATTTTCTGTGCAAGTCCTTTAAAACGCTACTCCTCCTACAATTTTGGTCTGATTTCAATATAACTTGGCACACAAGTAGACTACAATAAGATACATAAAATATTGCATCGGTTTTTGATTTAGATGAACAGTGTTGCCATTGTTACTAAAAATAGAAATGTCAATGAAATTCCTTTAAAACGCTACTCCTACAGTTTTGGTCTGATGGCAATGGCTTCTTTAATTCTCATCCTTTGTTATAAGTGCAAACCAGTAGAGCTACAGTCTCGACAGAGACTTTTGGTTATAGCTTTATTATTAAAAATATTTTCAGTCCTAATTGGCTAAGAATCATCAAACTTTGTCAGTTGATGCAACTTGGGTCTTAGGATACTTAAGGTTAGAGGCTTCAAATAGAAGTGATAGATTGTACAATTTATCAGAAGAGCGATTCAAGGCCTTTGGGCCTCTTGTTAGTTTAT